AAAAAGCTGATGAAGTGCTGGAAGCACTGACTTCTTTATGGCAGAAAAGTTGGAAGTCAGCTACATGGCCAACTGATTGGAACAGATACATAGCTGTACCCATTCCAAAGAAAGGTGACACAACAGAATGATCAAATTATAGAACATTATCGTTTATATCACATGCTAGTGACGTTTGCTGGGGATCTTCCAACCACAGTTTCAGCAGTACATTAACAGGGAGATAGCAGAGGTACAGACCAGTCAGAAGAGGGCATGGAACAAGAAAATCATTTCTGTTGTCTTTCGGATCTTAGCTGAAAGCAGAGAATGCCTGAAAGATGTTTACTTATGTCTTATTGACTGTACCAAGGCATTCAACTTTGTAGATTATAACAGACTATGGATAAAAATGGGAATTCCAGAACATTTCTTGGTGCTTATGCAAAACTTGTACAAGTGCCAAGAAGTGGTTTTGCAAACAGAACAAGGGAATGCTGCATGGCTTAAATCAGGAACTGTGTGCATCAGCATTGTCTCTTCTCACCATATTTATTCAGTCTGTACGCTGAGCAAATATGGTAATCCAAGAAGTTGGCATCTACGGAGAAGAATGTGGTGTCCAGGTTGGAGGAAGACTTGTTAACAATATTCTATATGCAAATGACACAGCCTTGCTTGTTGAAAATGATGAAGACTTGAAGCACTTGCTGCTGATGAAGATAAAGGTTTGCAGCCTTCTGTACAGATCACAACTCAATGTAAAGAAAACCAAAATCCTCACAACTTTATCATGATAAAGAGAACAGATTGAAGTTGTCCAGGATCTGGCTTAGATCGACAATCAGTACTTAAGGAAACAGCAATCAAGAGATCAAAAGACACACTGAATTGGGTAAGTCTGCTGCATAAGACCTCTCCAGGCTATAGAAAGGCAAGGATGTTACTTGGAGGACTAAGATGGGCCTGACCTGAGCCATGGTATTTTCCATTGCCTCATACACATATGAAAGTTGGGGATTAAATAAGTAAAAATGAAGAAGAATCGATGTATGTAAGTTGTAGTGCTGGTGAAGAATATTGAAAGTACCATGGACTGCGAAAATACAAACACGTCTGTCTTGGTAACAGTACAGGCAAGAATGGCAAGACTTCGTCGAACTCACATACTTTGGCCATGTTGTCAAGAGAGACCAGTCCCCAGAGAAAGACAGCATGTGAGATCGAGGGCCAATGAAAAAGAGGAAGGCCGCAGGAGAGGAACTGACACACTGGGTGGGCAATGGGCCCAAGCACAGGGGTAGTCGTGAGGAGGTGGTTGACTGGGCAGTGTTTTGTTCTGTTGGGCATGGGGCTGCGGGGGTTGCGACCAGCTCGCAGGCACCTAACAACAGCAGCACATGGTAGCCCATGGTATGTTCAGTAGTATTCGCTTACACCACAAATCAAAAGTATCGATTTTTCTGTCTTCTTTATTCAATTTCCAGCTAACTTCTGCAAATGCCATGACTTAGGCCAGGCCTACCTTTGTCGTCAAAGTAGTATTTAGCTTTGTGGCACTTTAGAGGTCTTTTGTAGTAAATTTGTGTTCAATTCCACCATTTTATTTCTTGAGTACTGCTTCCATGCTCATGTAACTAAACGTTATTTGGGAGAAATTCAGAGATTAGTTAATGTGGAAAAATGAATAAAGATTACTCCTGCTAAGGTCAAGGTTGATGGAGGAGGCTGACTAATGATTAAAATACGGATTATGGATTTCCTGTCATACGTCTCTATTTTTATTATCTTTTAAATAAGGATAAAACAGAATTTATAGGGGAGCACCAAAGGAGAGAATCTGTGTTTAACTGCAAAAACAAAAAAATTAAGTGGATTTTCATTTTAGTCAACAAGGTGTTATGTATTAATAAGCTTGCTCAGTAATATGAGAGATGGCTAAGTGCTTAGGGCTCTAATGATGTCTTTTTATTGACAATTGCATGGTTTTGTTTTTGTTTGAGATATACTCATTCAACACATTATGTGATTTGAGGCTGAATAATTTTAGTTTCATGCCTTAAGTGCCATTGTTGTGCTGTATCTGTTGACTAGGGCTAAGACTAGGACAGAGAGAAGAATTGTTTGCAGTGATTTGACTTTCAAAAACTCAACACAAGCAAGTAATGGGCCTGTTTTAAAGAAAGCAATGCTGAATAGTGACTCTGGTCTTAGTTTTACGGCTTTTGAAACATTTGCACATTGTTTGACTTATTCATTTACTTAATCAAATTGTATCCAATGAATGTCTGTTCTTTTTTATAATTTGATCTATATTTATGAGGAACAGGAATTATAAACTTTGTTGTCCAATAAGAGGATAGAAATAAAAAATAAAATATATTGTATTTTTAAAATTAGTTCTTGGTATACTGAGAAAATATGTAGGTATATTTTAGGGGAGACCTCATTATTAACTCACTATTAAAAATATGAGCTCTGAAATTGGAGGAGGCAGACCACTAGATAAAATACCATATAATGTATAGCTATAGGACAATTATGTGCAGAGGATGTGAGGGAGAAAAGAATTGGATTCCCATAGGATGTAGGGCAAGAAAAGAAAAGATGCCTTGGGACTGGAACATAGGAAGTAGGAGGAACTTGTCTGAGAAAAAGCTAAAGAAATAGGTGGACTCCTGAGGGCAAGGTATGGATTTCTTTGTGTGATCCTCAACATGCAATAGCTTTATCTGAAACACGAAGAATGGGTAATGTGATCCAAATCAGAATTCTTCAAAGGTTCTTTTAGACTACTGTGTTTAGGATGATTTACATGGGGCAAAGACCCCATTAAATTATTATAGTAGTCAAAGTAAGACATGATTGTAGGTTGGATAGACCACACTGGATATAATTTGGAGATGAAATTGACAAGATTATTCTAAATGATAGACATCCTTTCTAGATATTCGCTACTATTCACCTTTAATTTTTCATG